CAGTGTTATTCGTGAGCGTTGGTCTCGAGTGTGGTGCACGCACCCAGAGGCTTTCTAACAAAGACAGTGCTGTTTTCTCAGTCACACACAGTTACAGCCCTGGCAGCTGCTCTCCAGAGGGTGTTTCCGTTGTTGTGTTAATCTGGGAGTGAAGCTGTTGATTGAGGTCCGTGGAGTAACAAGCAACAGCAGAGATTTGTGCGCTTCCATGCACAGCAAGTCCTGGCCCCACCAATTTAGTGCCACGCCTGCCAGTTGTGGGAAAATGTACATTTCCAGGAAGCTGCATACAGTCAGGTAAAGGTCTGGTCCTTCAGGGAAAGAAGAGTTCTATTTAAATAATGGCCATCTTCCTCCTCCGCCTCCAGGAACCTGAAGACATTACTTTAAGAACCAAAATGGCGGAGCCCAAAATAGGTACCATGAACAGCCCAAGGTGATAAACGGCGGTTAAGCTGCTGTCACTGACTGTAAGCCCAGCTCTGATACTGCCTGGGTGTGGGGGTGAGGCCCCCAGTGCCTTAGTTTCTATATCTGTAAGCCCAGCTCTGACACTGGGCGTGGGATGCAAGGCCCCCAGTGCCTCAGTTTCCAAATCTGTATACTGGGTCTCCAAAGGATGCTGACCATCATGGAGTGGCTGTGGGGAGAAAGTGACTCACAGGCATGTAGTTCTCAGAACAGCCTTCCCTGTTGCCAGCACTCTAAATATCAGTTATTATGAACAATATTAGGGTCAGGCTATGATAGCAAAGGGTGGTGCTTTTCCCTTGACAGGAGTGAAATCTAGATGGAATGAGAAATAATAACCGCAGTCATCATTTGAATTTTCCCTGTATACGGGACACCAGACTAGCACTTAGAGTAAATTATCTCAGGTACATACAAATACAAGTGAAAACAGAGAAGGAACCAGTGACAGAAACTGCAGCCAGAGGAGGCAGGATCTCCCGGCACTCAGAACACAAGATTGTTGAGTTTGCAAAGCCAAATGGGAGTATCTGCCAAGGTTCGCTGAGAGCCTGCTTTGACCTGCTGTGAGAAGAGACGGCAGGTCTCCGACGAGCAGGTGGGACGGCTGCGGGGAAGCCTAGAGGCCGATTGCAAACAGCAGCAAAGTAAGTTTCCTCTGCGACTGTGGGAAACCCCCTTTCCTAGGTGTCTTTTGTTTTGTGAGATGGAGTCTTGTTCTGTTGCCCAGGCTGGAGTGCAGTGGTGAGATCTCAGCTCACTACAACCATCTCGTCAGGGTTCAAGCGATTCTCCTGCCTCAGCCTCCCTAGTAGCTGGGATTACAGGCGCGTGCCACCAAGCTTGACTTATTTTTGTATTTTTAATAGAGATGGAGTTTTGCCATGTTGGCCAAGCTGGTCTCGAACTCCTGACCTCTGACCTCTGGTGATTGGTTGCCTCAGCTTCCCAAAGTGCTGGGATAACAGGCATGAACCACCATACCTGGCCTCCTAGGTGTCTTTTAAAGCAGAATTTATTCCTAGCCTTCCGGGAGAGGAATGTGGTGTGAACCTGCTGGCAAGATGGGGAGGGAGGAGATGTTTACGGAGTGTCCCGTCCCGGCTGGAGATGGGTAACAGGCAACTGTGGAGCGGTCCCTGCATGTATGGTCTGGGCTGTGAAAACCTTGGCGAGGAGGGGCCTGTGCCAGTGATGCAGCTTCCAAAGCAGATGTCCAGCGAGTCAGTTGCCAGCGCAGATGACGCCTCGTCTCCATGGAACATTCTGGGCTGCACCACCTCCACTGGGGGTGGGACTGCAGGAACCCTCAGGACCCTGATGCCCTGCAGGAGGAAGAAGCCTGGGCTGAGTCTCCATGCTTGCGGGGAAGCTCTGAGCGTGGACACAGTGGGTGCTGACCACTGGGGTGATGACCTCAGCCCTTCCCTGAAGGTCTGTGCTGGGCCTTGGTGGGGAGTGAGCACAGCCCCTCTGGCTGGCAGGGCAGCTGGGGGGGCAGTCGGGGTAAGCTGTGAGCATGAGGAGCCAGGGCTCCCCTTGGGAGAGAAAGGGGTGCGGGCACGGAGGGGTCTGCTGCCCAGGCTCAGCCCCCAGAGCGAGGCTGGAGTGGGAGGATGGAGGCTGCTCCACTAAGCATGGAGTGGAGGCCGTGGTGTCACTAAGTGCATTAGAGCTGGATGCATGGGCGCCTGTGCACACAGGAACCACCAGCGTGTGGAGGAGGCACAGGGGGCTGGGGCGAATCCTTCTCAGGCTCCTGTCCATGCCGGCAGCCTTCAGGGCTGCAGAGAAGGACGCAATCCCAGAGGCCAGAACACCCCGTCTGAAGCTGACTCTGGCATCAGAGGCCAAAGGAAGAAATTTAAAGACATAAAATAAATGGAAGGATCTTGTGTTGATGGCTTGAAACAATTAATATTGCAAAAATGTCCTCACTGCCCAACGCAATGGACAGATTCAATTCAACCCCTATCAAAATCCTAGTGCCATTCTTTACAGAAATAAAAATATATTTCTACCATGTATATGGAACATAAGAGACTCCAAATAGCCAAAAGAAGAATGAGAAAGAAAAACAAAGTTGGAGGCATCACACTTCCTAATTTAAAATTATATTGCAAAGCTATAATAATCAAAACAGAACAGTACTTTTATAAAAACAGGCTCATATACAATAAAACAGAATAGAGAGCCCAGGAATAAATCCAAACACAGATGGTCCACTAATTTCTGACAAGAGCACCAAGAGGACACAATGGAGAAAAGTCAGTCTCTTCAACAAACAGTACTAGGAAAAAGATTTCCAAGTAAAAAAGAATGAAATTGGACCCTTACCTTACACCAAACACAAAAAACAACTCAAAATGGATTAAAGACATTGACGTAAAACCTGAAACCATAAAACTCCA